CTTAAAGTGCAGGAGAAAGCTGTAAATGCAGTGCATTATGAAACCAACAGTGAACTGCTAACATTTGGCTTTTTATCAGCATGGATCAGTTTTCTAACTGCCAATCTAAATGTATGGGAATTTTCTGGGCTCTGATAAGTTGCTTATCTGTGTATGGTACTAGTTTTTAAGTCATAGAAGTTACCTGTTGTTACCATATATAACCTTATGTTACCATAAGGGTAAGGAGACAGAGTGGTCACTGGTTTGGGGAGAGGAGCACAGCCCTATGCTTGTGGATTTTGGTGGCTGTTTCTAGCATGTAAACCACAGACCTTCTAGAGATAAACTGCAGCACTCTTGCTTTACTTACCTCATTTCCAGGAGTAGCTGTTTGAACTTTGCAGATAAAGCATACTGTGCCATCTGCTTAGGTAGGACTTATTTTTCTGGATAGAAAGTTAATCTCATTAAAGTTGATGTTGATTCAAAAACAAAGCAAAAAAAAAAAAAAATCAGTTCTGAGGTACTATTCATGTGTTTTTGTTTTCTTCTATTGTCTGTAAACTTTGCATTGGTGACTCTTACATCATCATTTTGGTGCTGTAATGTCTTTCACAGCTCTAGCCTTACTGGAGCTGTTTAAGCTGATGCTGTGAGAAACTGTTCCAACTTTCTGCAGCTGTTAGGTCTTGAGCATAAGCCATTGCCTTGCAGCTTCTGTCTCCCTCCAACTTGTCCCAGTTCTGCTGTTTGAATGTCTAAATGGATAAACAGGACTGAAATCTGGCGAAGAACAGACTTTTCCCACTTCTTGTGAGTATCTTTTCAGCTGGACATAATCACTAGTCTGATTCACTATGTGACTGTGCAAACTTTTGTATTGGCACAAGGGAGAAGGTCCTTGGGTGTAAGAGTGACTTAGTGTTTAAAAACAGGCTTAGGTGTTGGGAGTTCCCTTGTTTGTAGCTCATGTGCTATGTTGGCAAATGTGGGAATGTTTCCTCTCTCCCTTCTGAGAATCGTGGCAATTCCAGGCTTTATAGGAATTAAATAATTGTACATGTAATGCAATGGACCTCACTGAACCTTGTACTGTATTTTTGTTTGTAGTTGACTTCAGGAGGGTCTGTAGTTAAAAGAGCTTGGCTGCTCAGTGATATCTGAGAGACTACAAAAGAGGGAGAGTACTTGGGGGAGGGGGAGAAGAATATTGTTATGGTTGCTTTCCTGTTCTCTGATACACACTCTATCAGTAGAACATAATTATTTTAGGATTGGTTCGGATCTGAGCAAAGGTTTGCTGTTGTGTAATTAACAGCTAAAGCAGGATGCTTTTCCAAAATAAATGCAGTGCATGGTGTTAGTACTGTATGGGGCAAGGCTGTGATAGAAGTAGCAGCTGCAGGGAGCTGCTGCTCTGCACCTGGAGCACCTCCTGCCCTCTTCCTGCACTGATTTCTGTGGCTGCAGGGCTGTTCTCTTGCATTTTTTTTTTGCTCCTCTCTCCCAGCTGCTGTTGTGCAGCAGTTTTTCCACCTCTCATATTCGTTCTCCTAGAGGCACAACCAATTGCTCATGGCTTGGCTCTGGTGGTGGCAGGTCCCTTTTGGAGCAGCTGGAGCTGTCTCTGCTTACCAAGAAGAGTAGATTCGGTAGAGGTGGGAAGCTCAAAGTCAAACTTCTAAGTTCAGAGTTGAGCTCTTGTAAATAAGTAACAGTAGTCTGTGTTTGTGGACTTTAAAGAGCTGAAACATTTATCAAATGGAGGTAACAAGCTATGGCAGTATCAGATTCTACCTGATTAATCAACTGAGCGGTGCTGGTTTCACAGGACATGAAAAGGTCGCTAGGTCAAGCTGAGCCAGATATCAGTTAATATGAAATATTCTGTTAACCTTCGTTTTTCTTTTGTTTGCCTTGTAATGTCATTTATAAAATAGACATGCATACTCACTATCTTTAGGTTGTAGTAGTCACTAGATGCTATCAGTAGCATCAGATAAAATGTGCTACAGTGTGTTTTCATCTTGACTTTCCCTATGAGTTGGCAATAGGGATCTGGAGGAAAATAGCTTTTGTGAGCTGGATTAAGGCTTGAGTTCTGAGATCTGTATGTATATTTTTTTCCCCCCAGTGTCTTGGGGGAAATTGGGTAGTTTCAATTCCTCATTTGGTAGAGAGAAGTGGGCATACCTAAGCTAGTAGTGAATAAGCTAAATAACCAGGAATTTTGCATTAGAGATCAGTGATGGCTATAGAAACCCATTTGAGGAGGGGCTCAGTCTCTGTGCCAGGGAAGGTATAGTTAGGAATCAAGGTAGGTTTGGATATAACTGCTGTGATCTCCAGTTGCTCCTGCATGATGGTAGATGCAATAAGTTTCTCTATAAGTATACCTACTGTTTGCTCATAAGCCTCTTGCAAAATGAAGTGACAGATGTCAGCAGTGAAGTTGTGTCTGACTCTTCTTGTAATGCTTGAGTGCTTGCCAGAATGTGGGAAACAGATCTAAGCTCCCTTCATCTGGAAGGGATTAAAATCCACCCGTTCTTCACTGGTCACTGAAACATTAAGTGTTTCAACCAGACCATGTGCTGCTTTGGAGGTGGAGTTTTGGGGAAGGTTCTGTCTGGATCCTTCCTTTTATACTCATCTGAGGTGCAGTTGAGGTTCCTATTCAACAGATAATTACTTAAAACTGCAAAACAAGACACCTAGGACAATGGGCAACAAAACCTAGAAATCCAGTGAAAGGAATAGGGAGATATGGTATTTAGACCTGTTACACAAGTTCCTAAATCTCATGCCAGAAAAGTGATTGAGCAATCTAAGTAACATGAGATATAAATCTCAGTTGCACTCTTAGATATGATGGTGTGTTCTGTATGACCAACTTCAGGCTACTTGTGGTGCTACAGGCACCCCTCTTAATAAGGTCTTGGATTAGAGAGACTCACCTGCTTAACTGCATGTATGCCCTGGAGGTTCAGAGAATATGGTCTGGAAGCTGTCCTTGCTCCTTCCTCTAATGGGAGTTGGATAACAGTAGTCACTGAAGGTGCAGCTGGCATAATGGCCAGCTGATAGTTGTGGTTGCAGCTGGCAGAATTCTGATCCTAAAGGTATTTTCCTTCTTCACTGCCTGAAGCAGCTTGTACTGTCACCTCCTCAGATGAAGAAGTGCAGAAGTGTAGGTAGTTCACCGTGTAGCATGAGTGACCTGCTAGATTATGGGATCACCTGGGAATGCTCTCGGTGGGGATGGGATGATGCTGTTGCAAAGTGGGAGAGGTGTAGCTGTGGGAAAAATAAGGGAATATGAGCCTAGAGAAAATGTTTTTCTTCCTTAGATCACTGTCATCATGGGAGTGTAGTGGAAAAGACTGGGAGCCAAACTTGCTTCTCAAGCCTGTTGCTCTTTTGATAGCAGTTCTGCCCTAGTCCATTGCCTGCTGTATACTTAACAACTCCCTAGCAATGAGGGCTTCTCCCCACCCCCAGTGTGTACAAATACCTGTATGTGTGTTCTTAGAGAACTTGTTGGTAAGTATTCCTTGAAACAAGAAGGAAATAGGAGATCACAAGTTTGCGAAAAATCACTGATGGTCTGAAGAATGACTTCTGTCTAGGGCTTCTGAACTGTCCTTAGCTACTGTTTATTGTGTGGGGAGGCAGATCCTTGCCAGCTTCCATCCACTTTGTGGGGGAGTGGAAGGAGGGGTAGGGAATGATATGGAAGATTTTCCTCAAGATGTCAGTATATGAACTGTTTCTGTCTTGCTAGAATATAGTAGCGGGAGAAAAAAAAAAAAAAAAATGTGTAACTCCCTCTCTCTTCTATAGTGTGAAACGCTTTGTTCAAGACGGTGCCTTAAAACATCACATAAGCTGTATTCTGCTGTGTATGATCCAAATGAAAAGGTAAGTAGTGTAGTGCATGTTTTCTCTTTGATGTTTTACTGTAACGTTGGCATTTGACTTTCAAAGCTCTCCTCTGTGCTGCTTCTAACAACGGCAGTTCTCCCAGTATAACCCCTTCACAGGCATTGAATTGCAGTCACTGAATTACTAAATGTTAATGTGGTGTATCTACTGAGATTGGATACTGTCTCAAGTGCATGACTTAAGATGTTGAAGTGGTTAAGAGCTTGGGGAAGTTACAACTAACCCGAGCATGTTTTTCTTTTGACAGAGCTATTCTTAATGTTGTACATGGTATAGGAGGTATAGGCATAAACCACCACTGCGTGTGTATGCATGTAAACATGTTCATGTAGATATGGAAAATGCAGTACTGGTAGCGTGTTTGTTAGATGGTCAGATGCACTTTGTCCAAGTTGAACTTGTTACTCATGTGTGAGAGTGAAAACTTCAGAGCTTGGATAAAGATGGATGTGTGAGGTTTGTAGGGTGTGCTAAATCCACGTCTTGGATGAGGCTGCTGGTTTTGTCTGAGTTTTCTGTCAGACTTGCTGACAGACTGATGCAGTAGCAATCTCAGCTTACAGTTGCTAGCCAAGGAAAACTTTTCCTGTGGGCGGCTGTCTTGGCATAGCTGCTGAAGTAACGCGCTTGAAAAAATAATGTAGCTGGAGGTGTGCTCTTGCTAAAGGGCATGAATGCCAGTGTTTCAGCATGGACTAGCTGTATCTGCCAGCGTAGGTGCAATTAATTAGGAGTGAAACAGTATTAGAAAACAGAGAAATACCAGTATGTAGTGAGAACTGTGGCTAACAAAAAATTCTCAGGAAAATTCTCCTGAAGTAATTAACTAAATTCTTCCCGTATTCTCAAAGTCTTTACTTAATCAAGGTTCTATTCCTTTTCTATAGGCGTAATTACGCTGAGACAAGGTAATCACGTCTTTGATTTCTGTTAACTAAAAGCTGCATTACTCCAGACAGTGGCTTCCATGAGTAGCTCAAGGTCTTCTCTGGCTTCTCTGCTCAGTGTTGCTGTTTTTGTAATGACTGCACTTCTAGTATCAGTCTTTTGCATACTAATTAGTGGAGATTGCATTAAAAAAAGAAATGCTGCATGCTATTTGAAGGCAGCATGTGAATAAAACTTTTTTTAGTTGCTGGACTTAAATCTTGTTAACAGCAGAAATAAAGTGAAGTTTCTTCTTGTTAGTATTCATATTGCAGAACTGGAAAATTAAATAACAGATATTCATAACATCCTAATACTGAAAGTCTTGTTTTGCTATGTCAGCATACTTGGTTAATAAAATAACTGTTACACCAAAAAGGTGTCCAGGCTGGACCTTAGCAACTTGATCAAGCTGTGGTTGTCCCTGTTCACTGCAGGGGAGTTGGACTAAATGATCTTTAAAAGTCTCTTCCAACTCTGACAATCTGGAAAACTCAATGAAGTATTTGAGTTGTTATACTCCTTACCACTAAGTATTGGCAGTTTTAAAAAAATTTCCCTTCAAGTCTATGCCTAAAGAGCTTTGGGTTCCTAGCATGCTGAAGCTTAAGTTCAGGAACAATTTGTGTTCTTGCAATGTTTGTACCTCTGATAATTGACTTAGCTTACGAATGTTTGTGATCTATCTTCATAGGGTGCAAATGTGTCTGAGTGCTTAGCAGAGGTGTGCATTTCTTGGCAGAGCTGGCTGAGTTCACTGTGCAAGCTTGCTGCAGCTCTTGTCTTAATTTCTGTATGCTGTTACCATGGGGTGATATTCTGGAACTGATTAGCAGATGTTAGCTCAGCCCTGACTTTGAAAAAATATAGTAAATTTAGTCAAGTGCACCTTGTGTATGTCTGTTTGTTCCACCCTAGTCTGGCAATGGAAACTCCCATGGTGGTGTTACAGTTCCTTTCTCCACTCTACCTGCCCCTTCCACAAAACTGATGACTGCAGGGATAATGAACAGTTTCACTGCTGCACTGATGATGCTTCGTTTTCCCCCAGATGATATGGGAAACAGCTGTTTTAAGTAGGGGAGGTAGAGCAGCTATAGAATGTCTTGGGGTGTAGTTAGATGAAACTAAGCTGGAGCAACTGTGTGCTGCCCATGAAGGGAGGAGCTTGCTGGCTTCCTGTCCTGTTTATGATTTGGAACTCAGGAGGCAGAGTAGGGCTGTTTAATTTGTGTGCTGAACTGATGCATCCTGAAGATGCATCACTGCCACATCTAAAGTATGAAAAGCAGTGGGGTGAGTGTGCAGGGCAGGATTGTCCCTTCTGATGATGGTCTGTGTTTGATACTGAGCCTCCTTGGTTGGAAACGAACCAGTATAGCAGCAATAGTGCTTACAGCCAGGACTGAGGTTTCTACATGGAGCTCCTCTCAAGTTTCTTAATGGAAAAATTTTGTTTAGGATGTAAGGCTGATTGTCTTCTGACAGCTTGTTATCCTCTTCTTCAGTGCTCCTCCTTCAGTGCATGCCTCTAAGATGTATTTACAGCATCAAGTGCAATGGACTGTGAAAGGTGACAGCGAATTTCACATGCCTACTAAAGTGTGACTTGCTGTTTTGTTGCACTTTGGTTGCTGCTTAATACTGAGTGTGTAATGATGTCATGATGACAGGAGTTTGCCAGGCTCCTCACGTGACTTAGCCATAATGGAGATCAAGGCCTGTACCAACTCAGCAAGAGCTGGAGGGACCACGTGGAGGTCTTTATGTGTCTGAGGTTTTGGGGGGAGAAGCTGATCCCTGGGAAGCTTGCCTCCTTTGAATATCTGGTGTGCGTTCAGCATATGCAACTTGAACACTTCTGGGAACTAAGGCTGTTGTTTGGCAGTGCTTGTGAATGTCTCTTCCTTGAACTTGATTGTTTCCTACAGCTTTTGTGGGGTTCTAATTTCTATACTGTGCATGGTAAGGAAATCCTGGGAATGGTGATGTGAGTAGTCAACACCTTTCTATCTGTTCTGAGCCTGTGTGTGTACTAGTACATATCTAGGCTAGCATACAGTTTGTGCTATACTGTTATTGATAAATCAGCAGAACCCTTTTAAACTAGGTGAACTCAGAGTTGCAGGCTTCTGGGTAAACCAGTGTTTTATTGGAAGTGGAGGAGAAAGGAATATTTTCTGAAGGGAGGGAAACTTGTAATGTGTTCATCTCTCAAGGTCATTGTTGTTCTTTTCCCTTCAGACTTTTGAAAAGCTCCTTATTGCCAACAGAGGAGAGATTGCATGCCGGGTAAGTATGTAATCCTAAGTTTTTTCCTTTTGTAGTTTATTCTTAAGCTATTATGTTTTCAATATTGATAGCTTTCATTTTTTGTGTGGTAGGTCATCAAAACATGCAAGAAGATGGGGATTAAAACTGTTGCCATACACAGTGACGTTGATGCCAATGCTGTAAGTACTGCTTGAATGCAAATGATAGATAGGGTTCAAGATGAATTACAGCTATTAAGCAACCTGCCTTCATATAATGGCAGGCATGTTTGAGGTTTTGAAGCATCTTTGCATATGCCCTTTACTCCACGTGCTTAAAAAGGGAGGTACTGATGGATTGGGCAAGTATTTAGCAGTATGTGGCTTGAACTCTGGTGCTTTGCTCATTGTAAATGTTATCTTGCTCTTTATGCCTCAATTCTGGGAGAGAACACAGTAACACCTAATAGGTAGTTGCTCTGTGCAGCAAGAGTGGCAGTTAACCCGAAGTTTTGTTTTGCTAATGAGCACCAAGGGTAATTAAAAATGGTTTGCAGGAGATGAAGAACTCAATATGAATGGTTCCTCTACCTGTTACCTTCAATTTATGCTTTCTGCTTGCCAGAGGAATGCTCTCTCCTACCAGATAGCTACCAAGCATGCCAGAGCTGTTACATTTGATGCAGATATTGAGGTGTGTTCATCAGTGTGTCAGGAAAGTAGTTAAATGGCTCTCTAGATAGGGAAGGTACTTGTCTAGATGCTTACCCCTTTTTTAGGTCTTGTAGTTTTCTATGCAGTTTATTTCAAAATATCTTAATTTGGTTACAGCATACAACAGCAAGTATATTCATACTTGTCCTCTACAGTCAACAAGACTATACATCTTATTACTCTTTGCCTGCAGGAACTGCAACGGGAGGAAAGACTAGAGGTTTTGAACTGTTTGTTGGAATTGGGAGCTGAAAACCAGTGTTACAATTTAATGGGAGAGGTCCCTAGGCAAGATGAAAGGGAAAAAAAAATGTGGATTTTATGCATAGCAGGACTTAAGTTCATCAGCACTTGAAAAATTGAAGCACGAGTCGTGGAATTTAGGAAAGTTTAGTTAGGAGAACTTTGTTTTCGGATTTGAGTGAGAGATGAGAACTGTTGAAAATTTTGGACTCTGACACAGCTGTTGTCTCAGTTCTTTTGCTTGGTTCGAATAAATAAACTGTGGGTATAATAATGGTCTGAAACTAGATTATACTCAGATGAGTCAAATGAATTTCTGTGCCAAGTAATAGTTTTCTTCAGGTGCTGGAGAATAATAACACTTGCTCTGGATTTTAACTGGTAGCCAGTTAGCACAACTAGAAGCATATAGTAGCTTGTGCATTGAGAAATGATTTCTTAATAGATGGGTGTTAGGCATTATAAATCCTCATTCTTCTGGAAGCCAAGAATTAAGTGGAAATAAATACAAACTACTCAAAGTCCATGATCCTTCTGGTAAGACAGAAGCAGGCTAATGTGTACTTCTATTCCATCTTATACATATGGTGTCTGCTGTTTGGATAAATGGATCTGCTGTTTAGCAGTGTTGCATAACCTTGTTTGTTGGCATGATTCTGAAAATACAATAAAACTTCTTTAAAAAAGACAGTATGATCTTTCACCAGTTGGTAACAGGACTTGAAAAATGAATTGATCTTTCGAGTGCATCTGGATGCCTTTATTTTTATTGTATGGGCACTGCTATGAACTGGAGAGTATGGAAAACTTGAAAGTAATGCATAAAGACTGAGATCGAAGATTATAATGAGGGAATAAGAGTAACAGGAAAAAGTACAACTCATGACCTTACAGAAGGGAGTACCAGTGATGTGTTACAAAGAACTGAAAATATAATAGCTATTCTGCTTCAATCTACTGTGCCATCTTAACTTTAATGTATATATGTAGGGTGTTTAATTCATAACAGTTCATAAGAGAAAATAAATTCAAGCTGGTGTCTCAAATTCAGTAAGGTATTCAGAACAGTTCATAACCTTAACGTGTCAAATGAGATGCTGACACTTTGAGTTTATGGGCAAAGATAATGCTAGCAATTCTATGAGGGTTAAGTATTGCCTGCTTAGCTTCTTTGGATCCTTACTTAGGCCAACAAATTGAGCTGTGCAACTTACGGATTAGCTGGGTGCATTGAAGAAGCTTTCAGTATTTAAGGAAAGTGAGAGAGGTTGTTTAAAATGTTGTTCTAACTGATTAAAACATGGTATTAATACAGATACTATTTACATAAGTGGTTTCTTGGTCTAACTGTATGAGAGCTACTCCAAAACTAATGCCTTCTATTTTATTATGTTGGCCCAGAATGTCAGAGGTGGATGTTGGTTGATAATAGCAGAGACTGAGCCTTCCCATCAGTATTCCATTATGTTTTGTTGCTGTGTGACTGATGGCAACGTAGGGGCAGTCTGACAGGGAAGTGCGTGTGAAGCAAAGGGGTGTCATTAAATTCCTTAGTGCAGAAAAAGTAGCATCCTGTGACAGTCACTGATGCTTACTGAATGGTTATGGAGGCCAACCTGTGGATGTGAGCACAGTGAGGTGGTGGGTTGCATTTCAGCAGTGACAGCAGCAGTGGGTCACCTCTGCTGACACAGATCTTCAGGAGCGTGGCATACAGGCTGTTGTTCATTGCTAGCAAAATTAATTTAATATTGAAGAATATTGTTTTGTAGCTGAGAATTTGTCAAATAATGTTATAGTGCTCTTTGTATCTGTTGTAGCTTCCATGGAAATAAATAGTAGGCATTACTTTTGGAACAACTGATGTAGTGTGTCCACCATGTCTCTTTTAATCTCTTCTTTGGATGTGTAACTGGAAATAGCTTAATGTAATCTGACTTAATGACTAGGATATCTCCAGTCATTCACTGTTGTTGTGAATGACCTGGCCATTGCAGAGGTGTGTGTGATGGCTAGTTAGGATAGATGCGTCCAGAGGCCCAATTGTTTGACTGTGTTACTTATCATAAAGCAGTGACAAACTTGGCTTGACATACATTGTTTATTTCTGTTCAGATTGCATCAGCAGGTAACTACTTGGTTGAACCAGCAGTGGCAAGATGTCAAGCTGAAATCAGATTTGGCAGCTAATGCAACCTGCTGAATGAGTTTATAGGAGGAAAATGTTTGCTTAGTGGTGGGATTTTGTAAGAGTTGTGAATCTGCTTTTTTTTTTTTTTTTTTTTTAAATGGTGATAATCACTGGAACAAAGGCAGAAATAAACGTAAAGGTTCAATCACCAGCCCATCCTAAAGCTATTTGTCTTTACTAAGAATAGTGGGACCTGATTTCAAGTGATGAGTATACAGGGACTGTTTACAAAAATGCTTTTTAATGAAGTGTTTAAGAACATAATGATTTGAAGTAGGTAAACTTCCTGTTTAGAAGGTGGAGCAACCTCTGAGATCCAGTAAAACCCCTTATTACCTTACCTGTGTAGCTACTTACTAAAGTGTGGGTAGTCTGATATTCTTGGTACCATTTCTTTTGTACAAGTAACTTTAAAAGTCAGTCGTCTGCATCTTTCTGGCTTTCCTTTCTGCCATTCTGCTTGAAAACAATTGAAATTGAAGTAGGGCAGCTTTAGTGTGCCTATATAAAAACTCACAAAATAAGACAAACAAAAAGCCCAAAACACAAAGCATCTAGCAATTCAAACTCTTCAATAACAGCTTCTTGTTTATTCCCTATCCAGTGTCATATGCTTAAATGATTCTAGTAGGTACTTTCATTGGTGTTTGTGTAGAAATGATATATTTACCAGTAAAAGTGTTGATTTTTTTTTTTTTATTAATTTGCTGGTGAGCTTTTACTCCAAAAGCTTCACTCTGAATGACTTTTTGGAATTCTTCCATTTAATATGCAATTAAATGTTTCAATGTAAGAATTGACACATCTTTGTGGAGTTCAGTGTTAAATGGAAGTGGTGGGAATAGCTGAAATATATACATGCTTTGAGTGAAACTACTTTTGTTACTCCAGATTTGGTTGCTACAGAACAAAGGCAAAAGTTCTGTGTGCTGTTAAAGCAGTATTCATTTTGACATCCCAAATGTACATCTTAATAAAGGTAACTAGGCTAGGAAAGTACATGAGAATTTTGACCTCAAGAAGTTAAAAACTGTAGCAACTTGTGAGCAGAAAGCAGCAGAAAGAACTGTACTAAAATGGGAATATGGCAAAAATTGAACAGCCTGCTGAGAGCCAGCTAATGCTTATTTGAGGGAGGGAAATAAAGAATAAAATACAGTCTGGTTCACTTAGAGAAAAAAAAAAAATCTGAAGTATTCCTATAGGCTAAAAACAAGAATTAAACAAGAATTGTTATGCTGATAGGACAGCAACATTAAAGCTTAAAAGGATGTAAGTGACATCAGGGGCTTGTGAGTTACTGTGCATTAATGTGAAGTTGTAGGTAGCTAGAAATTATATTAAATGGGTTTGGATTACGTTTACACTGCCTAAGGGATTTGAATGAGCAGAAAGATAATTTTTGGTGTTATTTATGCTGTAGAAAAGAAGTTGCTGCTTTAACAAATGTCCTGAAGTAAAATCAGCATAGTTTAGGGAAGAGCAATCTGGCAAGATGACTGAGACGCTCTTAGAGAACAAAGATGCCCATGAGGTGCTGTGTATGTTCAGGAAAGTAGGTTGCAATTTGTGCATTTTAGAGTCTTGACAGTCTTGGTTAATGCTCTGTATTTTATGATGTTTTGGGGAAGAGCAGGAAAGAAGCTGACAAACTGTGCAAAATGCTACTTTTTCTTCAGAGTTCAAATTGTGAAGCACTAATTCTTTATACGTGGGTATGTAAGGAGCAATAGAATCTGGACATTTGAATTTAATGCAAACATCTGGGATTATTTTTGGGGTGAGAAAACAAGCAAAGAATTTTCAGTGAAAAAAGAGTAATGGTATGTACTTTTTTCCCCCTGAACTGATCGGAATAGAGGGTTAAGATGAAAGAGCCTCCTCAACCATAAATGTAACACTGATGGTGCAAACATTGTCGAGGAAAGCTAGAGAACTATTGTAGTGCCTAATGTAATCAGCTAAAAGTATGATAAATGAAGAACAGGCTTTCACTAATTGGATCTGAACAAAAGAAGGTATAGCATAAAGCAGTGAATGAGATATAATTTTA